AGGCTCACTGACGTGGTTGATGCAGGTCATCGTATCCCAATTGCGTGGATCGATGTTCATGACATCGATCACTGGATTGCCCGGTCCAGACTCGATTATTTACAGACCGCCGTCATATAGCTGGAATATTGCGGAGTGCGGCGTTAAGCAACAAACAAAGCAAACAAACAAAGCAAGCAATTCAGAACAGCGAATTGCAACACCTCTGACTACTGGACCACCGTCTCGGGGCCCTGATCACAAATGAAATTCAGATGCTTATAAATAATCAACAACAACTCTATCACCTTCGGGTCTAGTGGTTCGATCATCGGCCGTATTAAACCAAAAGACGTTAAAATAGTGTACCTATTGTTACCCTGTCTGCAACAAGGGTAACAAGGGCATAAAAGAAGGACTGATCGGCTCGGGGTCCGTGTACTCTGTCTGAGTGGAGTATCCATATAGGACTGCCGCGTGGAATGCACGATTAACCCGTATTCGTCCGGACTCACACGCACGAATGTGCACACACACAAAAACACACATGCATTCCCTTCTCTATATAAGTGCAAGACTATTGAATGCGACGTTAACCCCAGTTTCATCTCACCTCACCGCTTAGTTGTCTGGACTACCAGACCACTATGTTCATTAAAGTTGACAGTTACAAACATGGCCGACTGTAGGATCTACCTTGGAATCCCCAAGGGGGGGACAACTCAGTTCTGATTCATATCTCACCTAGCACTGGCGTGGAGTTGGTGTCAGGGACGTTCTCAGCAATCAGCAACTGCAGCACGTACAAGGTGAGAAACACGGTCAACCCAATATTGATCTTCTCTCCCTTGTGGCAGGGGAGTAGAAAACTGACCAATGTCAGGATGCAAAGCATTATGGTTGGAGCAATGACAATGTAATCATAATACAGCGACTTTCGCTTGACGCTGATGTGACAGTCGACCATGGCGTGCGAGCCATCGCCAGGACAGCAGTTGCTGTCTACCAGACTTCGGCTCACACTAACGGCTGTCAGGTCATATTCGCTGTTCTGGACATAATGACCAAGGTCTGGTTTGTCTGCATTGAGGCGCATGTCAACTTGGGTAACATCATAGATCCACGAACCGAACCGAAGGTGACATTTCTGGTCGTCGTAGGGGAAGTAGGTGACGTCGACAACGCAGGAACTCTTAACCATAATAGGCACCATCCACCTGACCAGACCATCGTTCCCAATCTTCACCTTGCTGCCGGTCACGTTGACAAAGCCATCGGCGTTGTCACCAGCCCTGGAAATAAGCCAATATTCCATATACTAGTCTATGGCTGCCAGCCTCATGAATAGATGAATATTGCTTAATGCTGCAGTCTGCACAGACCTTACATGGAAATAGCTTTCCTCACATTAGAGTCCGGTATTACGAGAGAACCTGAGAGTTCTCAAAAGGAGGCATACTTATTGGTCTAATTGCAATAGTTGTAAAAGTCTGTGGGAACGTGGGGGTTTATGGGTAATTGCACAGGAAATTCATGCATTTCTTATTTTGTCTCCAACTGTCTGGGGGCGGTCGGGTAACTTAGTGGTTAAATCGTTCGCTCGTCACGCCGAAGACCCGGGTTCGATTCCCGACATGGGTACAATGTGTGAATATTGCAGTGATATTGCTGGAATATATTGCTAAAAGCAGCGTAAAACCATACTCACTCACTCACTCCAACTGTCTGTGACAATTCGTTTTTGGTACATGTGTTTTACACATTCCGTTATGTTGTTAGTTTTTCAGTCTTTTTTTAACGAAACCCTTAAATAAATAAAAAAAAATAGAAAATGTGTCACAAAAATGAAAGGGTGTGAGTGAGTGAGTATGGGTTTACGACGCTCTTAGCAATATTCCAGCAATATCACCGCGAAATAGGCTACACACAGTTTGTCCATGTTGGGAATCGAACCCGGGTTTTCTGCGCGACAAGCGAACGCTCTAGCCACAAGGGTACCTCACCGCCCCTAATGAAAGGGAGACCCGTCACCGGTATAGTCGACCGCGCTTATTCCACGGGGTTCCAACGAAGTTTATGAATTCTGTAATTACGGGAGGTAACCGCCTATGAGTCAAAACATCCCAGTGTGGTGTGTAAGGTGAAAGTCAAAGGTGGTGCAGGCCGTAGATCATGTCAACCCATGCACCCAGGGGTATGCTGCTTCCAGACTAGGAATCATGGGGTTTGAGCTGTGATCACGAGATCCTTGTATAGCTAAGGGAGCTAACAGCGAAGTGCGTCACATTGCTGATGTTAGGTAAACTTACTTGTTGAAGAGGAACATGTCGGGCACCCACACGTTGGTAGAGGGAATCATTAGCGTGTCTAGGCCATCGTAGTCCTCGGGGTCCCATCTCAGGTTCTCGTCGGTCCACTCCTGGATATAGAGTTAGGTGTAATATATATAGATTTAACATAATACATTTCCAATATTTACAGATGGTCGGGAATACTCAGAGTAAACTATTACCGCATTTTAAGTCCTGATTTGGAGATTACCAAAAGCATATTTGTTCACGGATCTGTATGAACAAGATCGCGCCTTGGAGTGAGTGAGTGAGTCAGCTGGGTTGGGTTTAACGCCGATTTGAACAGTATTTCATTTACATATATGCGCATCGGCTTAATATGGCAGGTAAGCCCGACGAGATACAGGTCTCGGACGTTTACCACTTCGGTGAAACCCACGGGCACGGTGCTGACAAACCTAGAACCATAATCTGGGCGAACCGAGATTCAAACCCACAATGATAGATTTCTGGCGTGACACAACTCTCCACAGCGTATTGCGGGGCCTAAGATGACAAGGCCACGCGAGCCCGATCACGTCTAGTGTCTCAGGGAGGGGTCATTGTTTTGGGCTATTGAGTATATATTCACAAGTTCTCATTCACATTGTGTGTGCGTGCGTGCGTGCGTGTAACATATCGCATAAATCAAAAACAGCAATATATATGTTTCAGTAAAAATAAGCGAGACCCATGCCTTGTTTATGCATTATTCCCAGGGGATTAGAGTTTGTTAATATGTGACGCCTGCATGCGATCAGTATGTGTAAAGTAATATAGGTGGCGTGTGACAAGCATACATTTGGTAATTACGCAGTGTGTTGTAATACTATTGGGGTTTTCAAAAACGTAATGGTGATTTAGTTTGCATATTGTTCGCAGCGCATCTGGATGTCAGCATGGTTGTACGTTGTAAAAGTAGTTTGTTACTAGTGGATGTCAGCATGGTTGTACGTTGTAAAGTGGTCTGTTACTAGTGGATGTCAGCATAGTTGTACGTTGTAAAGTGGTCTGTTACTAGTGGATGTCAGCATTGTTGTACGCTGTAAAATGGTCTGTTACTAGTGGATGTCAGCATGGTTCTACGTTGTAAAGTGGTCTGTTACTAGTGGATGTCAGCATGGTTCTACGTTGTAAAGTGGTCTGTTTCTAGTGGATGTCAGCATGGTTGTACGCTGTAAAGTGGTCTGTTACTAGTGGATGTCAGCATGGTTCTACGTTGTAAAGTGGTCTGTTACTAGTGGATGTCAGCATTGTTGTACGCTGTAAAATGGTCTGTTACTAGTGGATGGCAGCATGGTTGTACGTTGTAAAGTGGTTTGTTACTAGTGGATGTCAGAATGGTTGTACGTTGTAAAGTGGTCTGTTACTAGTGGATGTCAGCATGGTTGTACGTTGTAAAGTGGTCTGTTACTAGCGGATGGCAGCATGGTTGTACGCTGTAAAAGTGGTCTGTTACTAGTGGATGTCAGCATTGTTGTACGTTGTAAAATGGTCTGTTACTAGTGGATGTCAGCATGGTTCTACGTTGTAAAGTGGTCTGTTACTAGTGGATGTCAGCATGGTTCTACGTTGTAAAGTGGTCTGTTACTAGTGGATGTCAGCATGGTTCTACGTTGTAAAGTGGTCTGTTACTAGTGGATGTCAGCATGAGTTCTACGTTGTAAAGTGGTCTGTTACTAGTGGATGTCAGCATGGTTCTACGTTGTAAAGTGGTCTGTTACTAGTGGATGTCAGCATGAGTTCTACGTTGTAAAGTGGTCTGTTACTAGTGGATGTCAGCATGGTTCTACGTTGTAAAGTGGTCTGTTACTAGTGGATGTCAGCATGGTTCTACGTTGTAAAGTGGTCTGTTACTAGTGGATGTCAGCATGGTTCTACGTTGTAAAGTGGTCTGTTTCTAGTGGATGTCAGCATGGTTGTATGCTGTAAAGTGGTCTGTTACTAGTGGATGTCATGACGCTGTAAAGTGGTCTGTTACTAGTGGATGTCAGCATGGTTGTACGTTGTAAAGTGGTATGTTACTAGTGGATGTCAGCACTGTTCTACGTTGTAAAGTGGTCTAGATCTGTTACGAGTGGATATCAGCATTTTTCTTCGATATAAGTGCTCTGTTACTAGTAGATATCAGTATGGTTTTACGTTGTAAGGTGGTCTGTTACTAGTGGATGTCAGCATGGTTGTACTTTGTAAAGTGGTCTGTTACTAGTGGATGTCAGCATTGTTCTAAGTTGTAAAGTGGTCTGTTACTAGTGGATATCAGCATTTTTCTGCGATATAAGTGCTCTGTTACTAGTAGATGTCAGTATGGTTTTACGTTGTAAGGTGGTTTGTTACGAGTGTACACTGTGTGTCAACTTGTGGTAAAACTGGTTAAGCGTCTACTATTGTAGCGCACGTAAAATCTAACCATGTACCCACCTCGTGCACCCAAACAGCCGTGGTCAGAACTTGGTTCTTCTCATCCTGTTAATTACAAGAGAAATATGACAACAGTCAAATTCGGGCATATAATTGTATTCATAATTCACAACATCTAGGGATTAGGTCCAGTTTAAGTTACCTTAGAGTCATGGTAAGTGCCGCATTGTAAATTTGGCCTTGGCCAAATGATGCCTTTAACTTGGTCTACCAATGTGCAGTTATTTTACTTCACACCAGACGCCCGTAAGTTATCTCCACTTGTAACGGACCACATAGCACTAGCCCTCCGCCCTGACAGGAATATCTGCAGTTTGTATGCTACAGAAACATGACAGCACGGACTTATTCTATGTTTTTAATACAGCAGGCATTTTTCCATCCAGCTTCCAAAACAGTCTGACAAGCACTGCATCAACTGATACCCTACAGTTGCCTCCTGGAATAAATAATATCACTAACTGATTTGCCTCGGAGACTTATATCTTACAGAGCTCCAGATAAGCTTTTGGTGTTGTGGGTATTTACCCATACATTTTAAAATCATTGGGTATCAGTAATTCTATCTGGGTATTCAAATTTCGGTTACCCACTAGTTTTTACACATGTGGGTATTTAAGTTAAATATTTAAACACTATTCATCTACTCCCTGCAAACTGGTGTCGTGTGGGTTCGAGAGCTTTACAGGACTCAAAAATACCAAGATACTTCCACAAGAAAGTGTGATGGCAAATGATTATGATGTAACTGTCATCGTGGAGTGTGGCAAGGTTGACGGAATGCCCGTTTATAATTTCAAAATAAGTTGCTGATTTGCTAATCGAATACGCCGGGTTACTTCACAATATTTTGATGATACGCACAAGTTTTATTTTTGTAGTGTATCTGTAATGTTCGTTGCGTATTTGATACGCTTCGATTTTATTTTACTGCGTCTTTCTGCATTTCTGATGCGTATTTCACGCAGATACGCAGCTTATCTGGAGCTCTGTAATCTTATTTTTAAATCCATATCTACAAAACAAAATAAAAAGCCGAATGGAACCCGGAACAATGCTGAATTTCCGGAGCTGACGCCACCTTGCCTTGCCAAATCATCCTGGGCTTGAGTTGGATTTGTTTTTTCAAATTTATCTCTCGATTTTGGAGACAGACTATGTTGAGGCCAATGGTGATTAATGATGGTGTCCACTGTGATATTCTAACGAGGCTGGAGAAGAGAGGTCACGCCGTCCTTCCTACTTTCCCCGCTCGCCTCCAACTCACCAGATCCAGGAGTTGATTGAGAGCGATGCCGAAGCTGACGATGACTGGTTTACTGGCGTTCTCCACCGGTCGGGATTCGGGGTTGTAGGACTGGAACAGATCCCCGTACAGCCGCTGCTCTGTACCAACACGGCGGCCTGTAATGTATACACAAACAGACTCTACTAAAATTGTAGGAACTGCACACATTGTACCGAATTCGAACCAGGATTTTCGCTGTTCGGAGAGAACGCTCTAACCACAAGGCTTTTCCGATTGAAACACGGATACTCTTACCTCCCTATGAATTCCAGTTAAAGAGGAAACTATATTGAATTTCTACACGATTGTTTAGTTTCATGTCATCTCACTACAAACGCTTCTGCAACGCGCCTGCATCTACACAACGGCGGCACACTGACTCTGAGGTGCCGTACACCTGTTGGATGTGTGATGTTGAACATAGCGTCAACCCCCGTGGGGATTCCGGGTTAGAACTAGTCCCCAGCAACCTATGCTGGTCGTAATGGGCGCCCGAATGGATCGGATGGTCATGCTTGGTGACCTGGTTGATTGCGTGTCATCGTACCCCGACGGCGTGGATCGTTGCTCACAATATCAATCACTGGTTTGCCTGGTCCAGACTCATTTACAGGCCTCTCTAATATATACAATTGGAATATTGCTAAGTACGACGTTAAACGACAAACCAACCAAAATATAGTGCTATTGGATCTATTTCACAAGTTATCACGAACTGCATATTTTTTAGGAAAATTACATCAAGTTATGTGTGTGTTTTAGAGTTAAAAAGAGCTGAATCATTAACTAGCTGGACGTGTACGTTGCCATTATCGATTTGTACAAACATCAACCCATGAAGATTCCTGGTAAGAATTAGTCTTCAGCAACCCATGCTTGTCGTAACGGATCGGGTGGTCAGGCTTGCTGACTTGGTTGATGCATGTCATCGTGTCACAATTGCGTAGTTCGATGCTCATGATGTCAATCTCTGCATTGTCTGGTCCAGACTCGATTATTATTTACAGACCGCTGTCATATAGCTGCAATATTGCTGAGTGCGGCGTAAAACACAAACAAACAAACAAAACCTACATCAACCTGTATCGTCAGCAAGCATCGTCCAGAACACTCAAACAGCCAGTGTGGCGATCCTATCAGAGTTCCGTACACACTGTCTCTACAACATGCGTCCGTGAATCCACAGGAATACGTAGTTGTAGAAAAAACTATATATAAAATATTATGCGTCCTACGAACCTCAGCTGAGTGGCCTCTCAATTATGGACGTGAGACTGTTATATTTGTTCGGCCTCGTAGGATACACGGGGCAATATTGTTTATTTATTGTTTGTACAGCTACGTATCCCTGTGGTCTAACCATGCGACCACGTTTATTTAACACTGTTCCGTTCATTCAAGGATGTTAACACCAGTAGCATCCTTCACATGTGTACCTGTATATGTAGTGGGAATAACACAACGTGAGTGAGTTCGGTTTAACGCCGCTTTTAACAGTATTCCAGTTATATCGCGGCGTGTCAGTTTAAAGTGTGAAGAAAGCCCGAAGTGATGCAGGTCGCAGACGTTTACCACTTCGGTGAACCCACGAGCATGGGTATGGTGCTGACAAACCTAGAAACATAGTAGGGGCGAACCGGGTTTCGAACCCACAATCATAGGTTTCTGGCGTGCCCAAGGGACGCAAATCGCGGCGCCTTGGACGACTTGGCCACCCGTGCCCCCGCGAAAGTGTTTCAGGAAGTAACCCGAAGTCGGAATCGTAAAGCCAACAATGTTGGTGGTATATGAACTGTACATTAATTACACCTTTCTATCATATTGTTAAATGATATTTGTATTTTTGATACATTTTTTATTTATGTATTAAAGGGACGCAACTCTGCACAGCTAATCGCGGCGCCTTAGACGACTGGGCCACCCGTGCCCCCGAATAACACAACGATAGGGAACTGTGAAGAGCGACCGCTCTATCTGTAGTCAAAACTTTGCAATCGCCAGTCTTATCTTACAAGATATCTAGTCATCTAAATACGAAAACTGACACATATATGGAAGTAATTAATCTAGGTTTTGGGGCATTCTGAATTATCTCTCCTCTATGCCCTGCGTTATAAAACCAAACCAACTGATGTAAACTGCATCATCAAATACCCCCATCAGGACACAGCTATCCGTCTATCTGACGCCATCCAATCTAATTGGCTTCGGCCGTTTATTTATAAACACCACCGTTGATGAACGGGGATGGCCTCAGTCAAAAGTGATGGAAACTTACAGTACCATGGCAACCGAGAAAGATGAGCTCGACATTTAAGGCCGGTTAACAAAGTGTAACTGATGGAGGCCAAGTTTTACAAAATTATTCGAATCTTTTAATTCAAATACAGTAAGGGTGTAGTGAGGCTTTGTACATATAACGCCTTTCATTAATGATGTTTCGCGTATTATACTTGTAGTAGTTCTGTATGTAGCACCTAATCGATTGGTACTTATGTGCTGAGTGTCAGAAGTAAATGTAGCGCACTGCTTCATATATATCATAAGTCAGACTCTGTGGAAAGGCAATACTGTAGATGTCCATGTAAATACGAATCCGTGTTGTTATTCTGCCTGCCTCCACAAACATGCACAGGGCTGAAATATTTCACTGCTACATGCCTGATGTGTTGAAATGTTAGCCTGATACCGTCCTGTGAATGTAACAATTAAACATAAAACACACACACATATATACAGCCATACAGGCCACTAATACAATACCGTGACTTCCGTGAATTATTAGCGCCAAAGCCAGCAGCACAACCGCCCCGTTCATCTTTGAGAGCACGATGCTTAGCATCTTATCTATAAACAGACGGCCGCCATTTTGTTATACGACCTTGACCTTGTGCCAGTGCCAAGTCTGTAGAATATCGATAAGTTATCAGCGGCTGAGGCAGGAAATTCCACACGGCGGATTATTTATGGAGGATATTGATTCGCAGCTGCTTTTGATTTAAAACCACGGGCTATGTTATTTAACTCTAAAAGTGGTTAATGGGTGAGTTTAAAAGTATTGATAATGTACTGGGCAGAATGTTGTTGGATTGTCACAAGGAAAGTACGTTTATAGATTTGAATAAAGTCATCATGACATATACCTTCCGACAAGTCATTCTCAAAGATTGAAGACTAATGTTTAATTATATTCTGTTAATGTTATTTACCTTAATTTGCCATTTTTATCGAACTATTTGTGTTCACATATCTATCTTGTGGCTTTTTTCTGCCAGACATTATGATAACTCAATTATTTTCTATAGGAGTTTCACTGTGTGTCGCTTCCCCTAAGACAGATTTAAATGTGAAATGTTATTTTTTCATTATTATAATAATGTTATTACATTTAGTTGGAGCATTATCAATACAGCATTTGATATTTGTACTATCTTCCTATCATTTATGTATATGTATTCAAATATAGTTAGTGTGAATACATTAAAGGAATATAATTAAACAAGAATTAGTTTTAACGTTTATATACAAAACTGACATATTACATGCAGGGAAACGCAGTATTTCATTTCACAGTTTTGAAAGAACATATAAATCCAGTGCAATGGCCGGTAAGATACGTGAAGCGTCCATACAATATTCGTGAGTGCCTTGCAATTGTAAAATCGGTCATCACAGTCATTGACGCAATGCTACCCACTTCGGAGGCTACTGCACGTGAAAAACGTGATTTGTCATCGCACGAGGAGGTGTAAATGTTCGATGACATGAAGTGTTGTATAAATCACGTGCAGTTTGGTTCATTATTACTTACACATTCACAATCTTAATTGAACATAACATTTGTACATTCATAGCATGTTTACACTACGCTGAAAACGTGATGAAGTGTGCCTGCAATATGCAAGTCTACTCATGCGTGTAATTTATGTACATAGCACACATGTAATGGCCAATCACACGCAAAACAAAAACCCACATGTGCGCACCTGTGACATGACAGTATTGTTGTATCATTCAGGCGGAAAATGAAATGAGTACAGTAACCTCATCATTGGGTTATAAGGCTACATATTAAAAAGGACCATCTCCGTTGTTAGTGATAGAGCGTCCGCACGGAGATCTAGAGCAAAGGTCCGGGGTTCGATCCCCGGCCGCGTAATACCATAAGACGTTAAAAGATGGTATTTGTCGTTACCCTGTCTGGTGCTCGGCATTAAGGGGCTAAAACAAGGACTGGTCGGCTCGGGGTCATTATACTGTGTCGGAGTAGGGAATTCATGTTAAACGCCAAAATATATGTGCAAATACATAACACCGACAAAGTTCACATCCTGTGTACTTGAGGATGAGACTTCAAGTTATTGTCTTGACGGGATCTAACGTAATAACCCCCATTGCATACACGTGGCATACAGTCACATGATTATTCGTATTTTTTTCTTGGTCGTTATCGCCATTTATATTTCTGTTCTCTGTGAACTGGTGTTGTCACCAATGGGGCAGGATACGCTAACCTTCTAGACAGAACCGGTGACTTTCTTTCGTTTTGTGACATATGAATTAGCAGCTGTCAAGCAATTTCTTTCTTTACAATTGAAGTGATTTGTCATCAACTTCGGCCATCTCAGAGTTCAAACACATGGTATTATCTTCGTGTAAAAACAATTTTGTCACACTTCCCTACATTCTAAATTTGGAGTATTTCTGCAGTTTAAGCTCAGGTTATGGTCGTTCAGAGTTTGTTTCGTATTTTAAAAATTATTTCGTGCTCCTGTGGTTTCCAAACGATTGTATCGTCTTTTACGTGGTTCTTTGGCTCTCTCGGCGATGGCCGTCCATACAGCATCTTGTTCCTGCAAAAACAACTTTGTCACATTTCCCGAAATTCCAAATTTGGAATATTTCCGAAGTTTATACACATATTATGGTCGTTTAGAGTATAGTTTTTTTTAATTATTTCGTGATCCTTTGGATTCCTTACGATTGTGTGACATTTCTCCACTTTGAAATGATGTAAGTCAAAGTCCTATTTACACTTTGACAAACTACATGTGTTATGAAATGAATATTAAAATCCATGATCACTTGTCAAGTTCACTAAAATGTCACCAGCCAGAAACTGTTACAGATTGTCTTTGACATAGAATTTCGCTATCCGATACCATTGTTTCTTCTATACTTGACCGCCTCCGTGGTCTTGTGGTACAGCGTCCGCCCGGAGAGCGGAAGGTCTAGGGTTCGATCCCGGGCCGCGTCATACAAAAAGACGTTAAAAGATTGTACTTGTTGTTACCCTGTCTGGCGCTCGGCATTAAGGGGCTAAAACAAGGACTGGTCGGCTCGGAGTCAGTATACTGTGTCTGAGTGGGGTATTCATGTTAAACTGCGGCGTGGTATCTCAGTGAGCTAGCACTATAAATCGGCATCAGTCCGGACTAGTACAAGCAGCCACACACACACATACACGTGCATGCACGTCGCTATATAAGTGCAATAATCTTGGACGCGACGTTAAACCCAATTTCACCTTCTTCTATACTTGGTAAAACATGGAGATGACGAGATGATTAAAAACACGGTATTAAACATTCACTTCCAATTAAAACTGTCACCTCTGTTGTCCCCAATTCAGGCACCAATGCACAGCATGCTCACTGGGCAATTGTCAATCACAAACTCCAATGAGATCCTGTCTACATTGTCACTCCCGGTGATTGTTAAGATCATATATCGTGATAGACACAATGTTATGGATAACAACTTCTTTAATACTGTAAAAAGCGACGTTTCGGTATAGATCCTTATACCTTGCTTGACAACGGTATAAGGATCTATACCGAAACGTCGCTTTTTACAGTATTAAAGAAGTTGTTATCCATAAAATTGTGTCTATCTCGTCATCCGGCAACTTCTAAGTAATGCCTATCAAACAAGTTATCATATATCCTGTCTACAGTCAGACAACGTGACAATCTGTATTCATTTCCAATATCATCTTGCAGTAAACACCTTCTGAAAAGATATCCGGAGTCCAACACGAAACCTCCTCTTGTAATTGTTGCAAAAAAACAAACGGTTGGGTGTGGACCCCGTTTTTTTTTATAATACATTGTGGCTTCGCAAGCCTATATAAAAAAAATAAAATAAATTATATGTACAGATATTAGGTCTTTGAAGGGCATTTAGGAGTGATTCACTTAAGGAAGAGATTAATGGATGTCCCACACATTCGTGACCAACTGGTGTTATTTCCGAGACAAGCCGAACAGCGACTCGTACACCCCCCCCCCCCCCCCCCCCCCCCCCCCCCACACACACACACACCCACACCACCACCACCACCACCACCACCCCGTCGATATCGCACTACTATTGAGACAATTACCGAATCAACTTTGGCATATGTGACAATTTACTGAAGGCTATCTTTATTATTATGTTTGTATCACAATTAGTTATGTGAGTATAACGCCAGTTTTGTCAATCAGTTTTGTCAATAACGATATCATTACAACTCCGATTAATCACTATCAAATGAAATCGAAATGTCATTTCCTGATAAGATTAACGGTAATACACTTGAAATCGTGTGGATGTACACAAAGCATGTCTTAAGCGATAAAACCTACGTAACTGGAGTGCATTTGATTAATGTTTGTGTCATATCGAATGTCGTATTGCATGTTCAGCATACACATTGCATGTTCGTGAGAACAAGTCAAATAAAGGATAAACGCACATTAATGTTTGAAGTATTACTTGTGGACATTTCCATGTCGACGATAGATTAGTGCACATTCATGTTCCGTCACTGTTCTGACGATGTCGTTGTGTGGTTATGAACACAGAAGCATTGTCAAGTTTTTGACAACATTTCAAATTAAATTCTTTCGACTGAACAAAATAAATGCATGGAAGGACGTATTTTTTTTGTTAAAATATACCTGTTTTTCCGGTTATTTTAGGTGCGTGTTGAATCTCCCGGGGATTCCCTTCACAGAAGGGAAATGGATAAGTGATCTTTTAACAATAGAACGTAACTGTCATCATAACTGAAAATCAATAATAATCTTGATATGGACTTTTTGGTCTTGTATATTGATTATTATCGAACGTTGTGCACACTACACCACAGGAACAATTTTGTTTTGTTGGTTTCTTGTTTAACGCCGCAATATTTCAGCTTTACGACGGCGGTCTGTCAGTAATCCAGTCCAGAGCTGGAGGATGGTGAAACTAACCTGACACACAGGTAGAATGTAAATTTCAACTTTTGTACTTTTAAGAGGAAAAAACTAAATTAACATGCAAACCTTAAGAAATCCCATATGGTTTATCTTTAGTATAAATACAGGTCATTTTCAAGCATACGATGTGGTATATGTGCATCTAAAAAATACTTTAAAAATACAAATCAGATGATGATAATGATGATTATGATGATGATTATGATGATATATGTATTGTGCGACATTAGAACACTTTGGTAAAACCAACCAGAGCGGATTTCACCAAACAGAGTATTTCTTAATGCAGAGTGAGTGAGTATGGTTTTACACCGCCTTTAGTAATATTTCAGCAATATCACGACACTAGAAATTGGCTTCACACATGGTAACAATGTGGGTTAACGGACCCGGGTCTTTGGCCTGGCGTGCGAACGTTATACCTACCAGGCTACCCCACGGCCCCTCTTTTTGCAGAACCACAGCAAAAGACACTGACAATTCCAATGAAATAGGGGTGCACGGGTAGCCCAGTCGTCTAAGGCGCCGCGATTCGCTGTGCAGAGTTGCGTCCCTTGGGCGCGCCAGAAACCTATGATTGTGGGTTCGAATCCCGGTTCGCCCCGATTATGTTTCTAGGTTTGTCAGCACCATACCCGTT